CTGCGCCTGCTGCAAGCGCTTCTGGTGGTGGCCACTGGCTGCCACGAGTGCGGTCTAGCCGCGTACTTGGATGGCGGACTCGCCGCTCTCGTCGTTGCGCAAAATTGGCTCGCGCCCACGTGCCGTTCCGAAGTACGTGGACACAAACTCAAGCTTCACTCGTACTAGCCCGAGCCGAAAAGGCTGAGGAGAAGGAGGAGGAGGAGGAGGAGGAGGAGGAGGAGGAGGAGGAGGAGGAGGAGGAGGAGGAGGAGGAGGAGGAGGAGGAGGAGGAGCGGGTGTACAACACCAGCGTCCACCAGCAACAGTAGGAATACGAAGACGCGATCTTCGACAAGGGCTCCTTCCTCACCTCCGACCTGGAGGACGAGGAAGAGGAGGATGCTGAGGGCGACTTGGATGAGGATGAAGAGGACTACGCCCCCACGAAACCAGAGATCCGCAACGCGTTCTACATCGTGGGCCCTGTCGGCGCAGGCGAGCCCACCATGAAGTCTTCGCTGACGCGCCACGGTGCATCCCCTGCGTGCTCCAAGCCAATTTCTGCGCCATCTTCCACATTCGGGCGGGAGACTGCGGCTCCATCACCACGGATGAGTTTGCCAACGGTACCACCAGCCAGATCGCCGCCAACCGCGGCCTGAGCACCCGAGCCGCCACTGGCGCCATGCCCTGCGTCCAGGCGCACCAGCAGCACCGCCAGCGCCGATGCCGAGGCCTCCACCCGGGCCTGCGATGCCCGGAGGCCACCGCCGCCACCGTATCACGGCAGGTGTGCGCGGAGGTGGGGGCGAGAGGGGCCACGTCGCCGACCACTCGGCAGCCCGAGCGCCCAGTTACCCCGCGAGTGGCGGCCGCTGCTGCGGACGGCCCCCTCCCAGGGCAGGACCCACCTGCCCTGGCCGGGTTGCCCCTTTCCTTTCCCTACTCGCACCCCCTCTGAGGAGGCGCTCTCCCTCCGCCCCCCTCTCCTGTCTTCCTTTGTGGGCACGCAGTGACTGCCATGCCACCGCCCACCACCATCACCTGTCCTCATCTCCTCCCCGCCCCCGGCATCCGGGCATCCCCCTCTCAGCGTCGCCTTTTTCTCCCTGCACTGCGAGTCGCCATCCTGCCACCGCTCGTGGGGCTCTGCCCGCCGCTGATGCCCGCCCGTTGCTGCTCGTGGCCCCGCGGATCGGGGCAGCGCGGCGTCCAGCCGGGTGCCGCTCCGGGGAGCCCGAGAGGGATGATGATGGTGGTGGTGGTGGTGGTGATGATGATGATGATGCTGCTGCTGATGATGATGATGATGGAGGAGGAGGATGAGGAGGAGGAGTACAGGCCAGGGATGAGGACGACGGGCACCATCCAAACATACTTATCCTATGAGTGCGTCGGCCCCCCGAGGGCCGCGCGCGCTCAGATACTTCCTGGCCACACCGCCAGGGCAACGATACACTATGATATGCTTGTGCTCTACTTTCGGTTCGGACGTACGCATCCAACGGGGGGCGCACAGTACTAGTATGATTGGCCTGTTTTCCACCACCACCACCATAAGTTGGAGGGGGAGGGGGTCCTCCTCCACCTCCTCCTCGTCCCCCTCCTCCTCCTACTCCTCCTCCTCCTCCTCCTCCTCCTTCTCCTCGTCCTCCTCTGGTGGTGGTGGAAAACAGGCCCATCATAGTGTGTCCTTCTGCGTTCCAGGAGGGGCAGCGTAGTGACTTCGGAATCCCGACAGGCACAGCGGGAGCTGGCCACCTCGCCCCCACGGGTTGCGCCGGCCTCCCGTGGCGGGGACGGGCAGCACCCGCCGTGCATCCAATGCCCGCAGCCTGAGTCTGAGGAGGAGGAGGCGGAGGAGGAGGAGAGGAGGAGGAAGAGGAGGGGGAGGAGGAGAAGAGGAGGAGGAGGATGAGGAGGAGGAGGGGGAGGAGGATGTAGAGGAGGAGAAGGAGGACGAGGATGATGAGGAGGAGGAGGAGGAGCGGGACGCAGGCCGAATGCCCATTCCCATGCCCAGGATCCCGAGGTCACCGAGGGAAACGATCTCTCCGAGTTGGAGGCCGAGCAGTCCGAACCTGCTTACCCGCATCCCTGCTCGCCCTTCATCTTCGGCTCCCCTGCGAGGGTGGGGGCGTTGGGGATGGATGTATACGGAAAGGGGAGGAGAAGCAGGAAGGGAAAAGGAGGAGGAGGAGGAGAAGGAGAAGGAGGAGGAGGACGAGGAGGAGGAGGAGGAGGAGAAAGAGGAGAACAGCGGGGGCGGGTATCGGTTCTGCTTTTTGCCTCTCGGCTGCCACGCCTATTTGATGGGAGCTGCGCAGGCACCCCGCCCCAAGACGCGCGCCCGTGCTCCCAGCCCTTCGCGCGTGCTGCGTTGCCTTCACATGGCAAGTGCCCGTGGATGCAGATCTACCGCTCCTCGTGCAGTTGTGGGGCAGTTGTTGTCCCTGGGTCTCGCCAGATTCGACTGCACCGAAGCCCGCGCTTCGCGCGCACCCGCACCAGGACCTCTGCTTGCAACCACGGCGACACGCCCGTGCCCGTGCCCGAACACCGCCTGTTGTCATGTCCGCTCCGACACTGTGCGCTCTTGCGCACAGTGGCTAGCCCCTTCGCGCTCACCTGGCCGTGTCGAGCGCTGGGGTTCCTGCTGGAGCCAAGCCCCCTCTCCTCCTCTTCGCTGGACGTCGGAGGAGGGCCCTGCCGCGCTCAGGTGGTGAAGAGGATCCAGGAAGGCAGCCACATGGAGCTCGCGCTTGAGGAGGTCGAGGAGACGGCACAGCCAAACGCGCGATGGGAGGAAAGGAGGGAGCAGAGGGAGGCGGGAGCAAGGAGGAGGAGGGAGGGACGAGGGAGTGAGGGAGAGAGGGAGGGAGGGGTGCTGATGCTAATGCAGATGATGATGATGCTGCTGATGCTGATGATTACGGCCATGACGACGACGGTGACGATAACGACGACGACGATGATGATGATGATGGTGGTGATGATGACGATGTCGATGATGACGATGACGATGGTGCTGATGATGATGGTGGTGGTGGTGATGATGAGGATGATGAAGAAGATGCTGACGTTGAGTTTGCTGCTGGTGACGACGACGATGATGATGATAATGATGATGGTGCTGATGATGATGGTGGTGGTGGTGATGATGAGGATGATGAAGAATATGCTGATGTTGAGGTTGCTGCTGGTGACGACGACGATGATGTTGATGTTAATGATTATGACGACGACGATGGCGACGACGACTACGATCATGATGGTGATGATGATGATGGTGGTGGTGGTGCTGCTGATGATTATGACGATGACGGCGGTGGTGATGATGATGATATTGATGATGCTGATGCTGATGTTGACGACGACGATGATGGTGATGATGGCGAGGATGATACCGATACCGATTACGGTGACGATGATGCTGATGACGATGATGATGATGTTGATGATGATGTTGATGATGATGACGATGATGTTGTTGATGATGATGGTTACGATGCTGACTTTGATGGTGGTGGTGGTGATGGTGATGGTGATGGTGGTGATAATGATGTTGAATTTGGCGGTGGTGGTGGTCATGATGGTGGTGGTGATGTTGGTGGTGGTGGTGGTGGTGGTGGTGGTGGCGGTGATGATGATGATGGTGGTGATGGTAGTTATGACAAGGAGGAGGAGAGGGAGGATGGGGAGGAGAAGGAGGAGGAGCGGGAGCAGGAGTGGGAGGAGAAGAGGAGGCATTGTACAGCGACACAGGGAGAGGAACCCATGTGTGTGTATATCTCTCTCTTTATATATATATACGTGTATAAAACACACATACTTTCAAACATACATACATGCATACATACAGTCATCCACACATGCATACATCCATCCATCCATCCATACAGCCATCCAATCGTACATGCCATCGTACATACATGCGTACATACATACACACAACCAACCATACATGCATGCATACATACGTGCACACATACATACACACACGCACACATACACACATACATGCAAACACGCACGCACACATGCATACAGTCATACCCACTTACATGCGTACATGCTTACATGCACACATGCATGCATACATGCATACAAGCATACATGCGTACATGCATACATGCATACATGCATACATGTCTGCGTGCATACATGCATACATGCATACATGCATATATGCATACATACACGCATACATGCATACATGCACATACATGCATACATGCATGCACACACATGCATACATACATGCATACACACAAACAAACACGCATACCTTTATACATACATACATACATACATACATACATACAGACAGACAGACAGACAGACAGACGGACGGACAGACAGACAGACAGACAGACACACGTACATACATACATACATACACACATACATACATACATGCATACATACATACATACAAACAGACAGGCAGGCAGATAGACAGACAGACAGACATACATACATACATACAACAACACAGACATGCATATGTATACACATATATGTTGGTACACACATACGTATACACTGATCTATACCATACATGTCAATATATATATATATATATATATATCTAGCTTGAGGAAAGAGAGAGAGACAGAGAGAGAGGAGAGAGAGAGAGAGAGAGAGAGGATGATGATGAAGAGGTGAGAGGATCCACCACGCCAAATACGCCAGTCTTGGCGACCAGTAGCCCTTCTGCCAGCCTGGCTGCGCCCTGTGGTGTCTCAGGGGCGGTGAGCAGCAGGGGGCGGAGGCGGAGGAGCAGGGACAGGACGAGAAGGAGGAGGGAGCCGCTGCCGCTCGCGGGGGTGACCTCTCCGCCCAGTCCCCCCGAAGGGGTGGAGGGGGTCCCGCAGGAGGGCGGCCAGCTGCAGGCCCCCGTGAGTTGCCGCAGGGGAGGGGGTGAAGAGCAGGAAGGGGGACGAGCAGGCGCTTCGCGCTCTGGGAGGGCTGTCCCCAGCCCGCGCGGCACGGCCGGCGGGGCCGCTGGGGCGCAGATGGCGCAGGAGTTCGCGAAGGTGCTCGGCCTCGACAAGGACGGGAATGTGAAGCTGCAGGCGCGCGCCCTCCCTGCCCCAGGGGGAGGAATGAGGATCGGTGCCAGCACTTGGTTCTGGCCAGCAGGAGGACGGGGGGGTAGGTCCAAGTTTCTGGGTTCGAGAGAGGTCTTCTGCCTCTCGTGACCTCTGGGGGCCGCTTTCGGGCCCTGGGTGTCGCTTTCGGGCCCTGGGGCCGGTGTGCAAGACTGCACCAGGTGGACCTCGGGAGGGCTCTGGTCGGCTCGGGCAAGATGAATCCGTGCCAGAGCGTTCTGGAACGCTCTCAGAGCGTCTCGGAACGATCAGAGAATGCTGCAACGCCCGGCACATCCTCCAGAGCCCCCGAATCTCAGAGACTCTCGATTCGCCCTCCCCCGGATTTATCCTCGTCCTGGCTTCGTCTTTTCTGGGGACCGATTTTGAGCGGACTGGGCTTCGACAAGCTGCAGGCGCACGCCCTCCCTGCCTCGGAGGAGGGATGAGGAAGACAGCGGCCCGCTGGTCTCGGCTACGCGCCAAGACTCGGCATCTCTCGGGTGTGTGCATTTCTCTCGGAGAGGCCGGCGCCAGAAAATCTGGACCATCTGAGGGCATTTGGGATCATATTGCCGACAGGCCAAAGCGCACACACACACATACACACGCATGCACGAAGCCGACAAATGCACGGGAGTAGACGTCCGAGCGATGGCGAGCGAGAGCGACCTTTCGCCAGAGTGACTTTTGGCGCGGGCACACGGGGGCCCACACACGGCTGACTGCGATGCGGCAGCAGCTGGTTGCGCGCTCGGGTTTGACCCCCGGCGTGCCCTAAAGCTGCGTGCCAAAGGCCACCAAAGCTACAGGCGCACGCCCCCCGCTCCGGAGGAGGCATGAGGATCGGGACCTCCAACACTGTATATGCATTGACAGACATACACATCCATATGTATTCCGTGTGTCTAATATATGCGTGCATGCTTTTATTTTTGTATGTATGTATGTATGTATGTATATATGTATGTATATATATACATATATAAATGTGAATATATGTATATGTATATTATATATATAATACATGTTTATCATACTCAACATTCGTGCATATCTATATACCCATATCTTTTCACGATGTATCGGCCACGCCCGGGCGACGCGCACGCTCGTAGATCTTTTGGTGTGAGATCCGTGGTGGCCGTTTTCTGGCCGTACCGGTCGGGCTAACGATATGTTATAACATTCTTGTGCTGTATGTTCTGGTGATGGCCGCGGTGGGACGAAGGGCTGCATACCCGCTGAGCGTTGAAGCTAGGCGCCTGCCCATTTGCGCTACGGCTTTCAGTGCACGCGAGTGCGGCCTGGGCGGTCTGTAGTTGTTGTGCCATTCCATATCTTTCGTGGCAGTCATGCTGTCAGAGTTGATGTCGCCATGGTCACCCTTCCCTCCGGTGCCGGCGCATTCCACCCGGCTCGTGCTTCTTCGATAGCAAGATGGGCACGTGCTTAATCATCACATACACATTCTTCGTCATTGTGTTCAAATGTTTCTTGGGCTTCCGTTAGCTCGGCCAGCTTTCAAGGCATCACCCGTCATTGCCCTTTCTGATTGCCACTTTATTTTTGAGGCTAGCTAAGGCAACCTTGCCTAGTGGACTTCCTTGTCCGGTAGGTTCCAGTGGACAGGTAGCCCCCATTCGTCTCACTTCACGCGTTTCGCCCCTCAAGGGGTTCTTCGGGCCACATTGCTTCCGGTGCAGCATCGAACGAGCATCGTCGACGATGGGACTAGAGGCGGAAATATGTAGTGCACAGTGTAGTGCCCCCCCGAACCCAACCACCCATCCTGCGGGCCTATCGAGGCCAACTGTACACGCGAAGTGACCGGAACATATTCCTTTGCACTCCCAGTCGGACGTGCGCCTCCAACATCAGCACTTAGTACTAGTATGTTCTTCTGCGCCCCAGAGAAAGACAGCGGCCCACTGGTTAACCCAGGATCAGGAGGCGAATCTTATTTCCTGGATTGCCTCAGAACTGACTGCTCTACACGCCCCAGAGGCGAAGAAAGGGGGATGATGATGATGATGATGATGATGATGATGATGATGATGATGATGATGATGATGATGATGATGATGATGATGATGATGATGATGATGATGATGATGATGAGGAGGAGGAGGAGAGGAGAGGAGGAGGATGATGCTGATGCTGATGCTGATGCTGATGCTGATGATGATGATGATGATGATGATGATGATGATGATGAGGAGGAGGAGGAGGAGGAGGAGGAGGAGGAGGAGGAGGAGGATGATGCTGATGATGATGATCGTGAGGAGGAGGAGGAGGAGGAGGATGAGGAGGAGGAGAAGGAGGAGGGGGAGGAGGGGGAGGAGGAGGACGACGAGGAGCGCGCTCGCGCTCCCGCGCGCGGGCCCGCCCGCTTCTCCTCCACGGCCCCTCCTGGAGCTTGGAGCTTCCTGGGGCCTCCCTCGGTCTGCCAGTAGGTCGAACAATTGAGGGGATCTCCTCCCTTTCCCCGCCCTTCGGACATGGGCAGTTCACTCACCACTATGTCTTCGACGTCTCTTCCTTGGCCTCGCCAGGATATATAGATATACATATAACTATATTTATGTATATATATATATATATATATTTGTATATCTATCAACATCAGTCTATATTTGGAGTTGGGACTTCGGGGGAGCGGTGTGACACAGGCATTCGCCAGTCCTGAGGGTGGGGCAGTGCCCGTGTCCACCCCGCCAGCGATTTGCGTGGAGACAGGTACGGGAACGCCCCTCTGTTTCGAGATATGCGGTGCGCAGCGTGGCAGCGTTCCGTTGCCTCCCGAGGGCGAGGTGGCAGCGCATTGGCCACGTGCGGTCATGGGGATTGCAGCAGCTGGGTCCACGGACGGTCCTCTTGGCCGTGTGGACCTGAGTCCTGGCAGAGCTCCTCGCTGACTGGCTTCAAGAGTCAGGCACCTCTTGGGCTATCTTGCATGCCAGATGGGCGGAGGCTCGAACGAGGGGGGGGTACACAGTTTTCTTTTCCTCTGGCTGCTTTCGGCGCCGAGCCCGAGGTCGCCGCTCGCTCGTTGCAGTGTACCTCGATGGGTTATTCCAGCTTGCTTGAAGTCCATACTGGGTTGTGGTACTCTGGGCAAGTGCCATTTGAGAGGATGCGCAAGCATCGTGGTTGCCCGAGCAAGGTGTGTGCGTCAGAGGAGGGGGGCAGCGTTGCCCATGCCTCGGCCCCAACCCGAGCCAACGAATCTCGTAGAAATGATTGGGGAGGCTTGATGGAAACGCGAGCAGGGCAAAGCTCTTTTCATCTTCCTCAAGCTGCTTCTCCTCCTCCAGTTCCTTCCCCCACCGCCTGCTCCTGTTCCTGCTCCCTGCTTCTCCTTTCCCCCCCCCGAGCATGCAGCTGATGCCTCTCCCCCAAATTGCTTCTTCTGCTCCCCTCTCTCCTTTCTCCTCCCCGCCTCTCCAACTCCCTCTCTCTCCTCTCTCTCTTTCTCTATTCCATCTGTCTCGCTCCCTCTCTCTCTCTATCTCTCTCTCTCTCTTCTCTCTCTCCCTACCTGCGTGTCTGCCCTTTTCTCCGTCTCTGTCTCTCTGGCTCGCTGCTTCTGTGCCCTCCCCTTCCTCTTTCTCGTCCCCTTCATCTTCCCAGGAACATTTCTCTTTCTCTTCCTCTGAGTATTTCTCAACCACTTGTTTTTTTTCAGCTGTCTGTTTCTCTTTGATTGTCGTGTTTGGTCTTCGTCATGTCTATATATCTCTTTCTCTACCTCGTTAGCGCTTCCTTTTTAGATATCTTTCTCTTTCCAGGTCTCTCCGTTCGCCTTTACTTCCCTTTTCATTTCCCTTTCCCTTTCCCTGACGCTGTCTCGGTCGGTGTCCCTGTCTCTGTCCCTGTCTGTGTCCCTGCCTCTGTCTCCGTGTTTGTCTCGTGCTTTTGCTCTCGATCTCGCTCTTGCTGCTGCTCCTTTTCTTCTTCCCCTCTTACGTTGAGTGCGTATTCGTATTCCTCTTCATCGTGCTCTATCTTTCACCTTCTCATTCTGCTGCACTTTGTCCTTCTCTTTCCGTTTGCATCTCCCTCGCACTCTCTGTTCCTGTTGCCCCGTTTGTGTACACATAAGCATGCACATACACACACACACGTAATGCCAGCGTGAACCCCACACAGTGTGTTTTTAGGAGTATTGGTGGTGCAATCTAAGTGGAAAAGTACATGTGGTGATATCTGGATGCGTGTTGAAACCCATGCTGTGCAATTCATGTTGTGGAAATAAGTGGTGTACTCTTCGTGGACCAACATACGTGGTGCAGGCTATGTGGTGCAATCTAGGTCGTGCAATTGATTTTTACCAACGAGTTGACACATCCCGCGTTCTTGCAAACACATCCCACCCACCCACCCGCAACTTGGTCTGCAAAACCCATAAGGTGTCGATTGCGATGCATGCTCGGCGTTGGCTGGTGCGTCTCTGCGGCCGCGCCAACCCAAGCACGCGCGCGCAGCGGCCAGCTGGTCTGGCGCGACCGACGCGGCCGCGGTGGCGCTTATCGTTGGGCACATACCAGCGGGCACTCCATTGCGAGTCGGCGGTTGTGGCGGACGCGGTATCATGGCAACGTCCACAACGGTAGACGTTGTGGGCGAGTCTCCAACGACTTTGGCGACGACGACAACGACGACAACGACGACAACGACGACAACGACGACAACGACAAGGGAGGAGGGAGGACGGCGACGACGCGAACGACGAAAAAGGAGGAAGGACGGCGACGCCGACGACGACAACGACGAGGGAGGAGGGAAGACGACGACGACGACGACGACAACGACGTCGACGACGACGGCGACGAAATAGGAGGGACGACGACGAGACGCCGACGACGGACGACGACGACGACGAGGGAGGAGGAAGGACGACCACGGCGACAACGACGACGGAAACGACCACGACGCCAAAGAGGACGACGACGACGAACACGAGGAAAGACAGAGGACGACGT